CCCCAAAACCCCAAAACCCCAAAACCCCGAAAGTAATATATAGGGAAAAATAATAAGATCAAGAAATTAATTAATCTAAGGCTATAAAAGATCTTCAACTAATAATTAAATTTCTGAACATTAGTTAGAAAATCTTTGATTCAATCTTTTCCAACAAAAACCAAAGCATCATTATCAGCTTATGAGTAGCAGCTATTTTCTAAATCTATTTATGAATGCTAGTGGTAAAATTATAATTGTTCATCTGATTTATTTTGCTGTGCACTTGTTTTATCGAGAGCCAGTTAATTGTCCTAGTCATCCTTGTCATTTAGTTATTGGCTTAAAATATCAGCTTAACTCTCATTTCTACTCTTTAAATGGTACTGATCTTCCCCATCAAAGTTCTATGATATCTAAGAAAGCCTTCTATGCTTTTTGAATAATCTAATTTCTTTAGTCTTTTCCAACTCTCCTCTATCATTATTTGGCATCACATCAATGATATTTTAAATTTATGGTATTTATCTCTAAATCATTGGAAGCTTTAGGAAATTTTAAAATTTTTAGGATTCCGAACTTTTTCTATCGGATGAATCCTGCAATGAAAATTATTCTTCACTTCCTTTTAATCTGTGAATCAAGGGAGAACTTATCATTTCATCATGGAAATCCTTAGCTTTTCTGATGAATATTCCTTTAATTAATACTTTATCATTTTCCTCTAAAGTATTCTCTTTGAAATGAGTGAGAGCCTCCTTAAGTTTTACAAGTGCTGATAATCACTTAAATTGGTTGTTTCCATTAAGATGCTTGATAATATCATTTTTATGATAATCAGAGTCTGAGGAAGATGAAGATGTCTACAATAAATTTTTCTTTGAGAATTTAAGCAGCAGCCTTCTCCTCATTGGCAAAAGAAAATTTACAAGAGATTTCATTTATCTGATTGACTTTAATAAATTGACAACATCCAACTCTTGCTCTAATCTTTCGTTTCCTTTGATATATTTTAGATGAGATTTGTAACTACTGGAAGTTTTCAATTTTTTATTACTTTTGCAGCAAACCATTTTGACTAAATAATCAATTACTAATTTATATCCATATCTAAAGTTTTTTCTCAATAAAATTTCATCTATGACTCTTGTAATCATGCTTTCTGATAAGTAATCTCTGGCGAATATATTTTCTATCATGTTCATGTCAGAAACTCTTGGCTTGTTTAGCTATGAATTAGTCAGTGATGCTAATTTTTACTGGAAGGCTGTTCTTAATTTGCTTACTGTTTCTTTAGGCTTTGCATTCATAAAAGCGTTATTGCCAGAGGGAGCTGCGAAAATTTATGTCTCTATTCTTTGAAATTTTTTATGAGATTTTTCTTAATACAACTGCTTAATGAATGATCCTTTAAATAGTCTTTCTTGAAAGAATGCTACTATTAAGAAAATTATAGAGAAAACAGACTCCTTGAATCCTCCAATTGATTCTAGGACATCAAATATACTCTCTACCAGTCTTACATATTTCACTGATTTATTATCAAGAATGATTTAAATGCTCGCTAAATTTTATGAATTCTAATTATTTTAGATTGGTTTATCTCTATGACTAACATAAGTGATCTAGTAAAAAAACTACTAGATATAGTCCCAAAATGTAATGATATTATCCCATTACTATGAATACACTTTTTTTACTTTTATTACATCTAATTTCACTCAATTTACTTCGATCACTATCTCTTAGTGGTCATCTAAAAAATATTATATCTCTCCATTGTAATCAGTGAAATCGAAATTAGAGTTACAAAAAGTATATTAGAGTATTTTATTTTGGAAGAAGTCTTCAATTTATTTCTAACTTTTACAGTACTTAAATTATGTAGTGTTTTTACAAATTTCCACATTGATACTTAAGTATTGATAAATAGGACTTTGATTATCACCTTCCAATTAAATTACCTGATTATCTGACAGACAGTAAAAAGTATCAATGCCAGATCTTTGAAAATCAGAATCTTAGATTTTTTAAAAATTTTTTTAATTGCATTTTTCTATTTATAATTCCTACAAAACATCTTTATTTTTATTATTATTTGTAATGTTATTGTCCTTATATATCATGTGCTAAATAGCTCTAATTTTACCATAAGTAAAATCAAATTAGTCTATATTATCACCTATCAGCTTGAATCCGATATCAAATCCTTTTTCTAGTGGATTAAAACTACCCATTGAATCGTAACTTTAAACCATTGGCTTTGTATGAGTTATTGGATGCTTTCGAGATATTGCCATATACAGCTAGTAGACAATAAAAACAGTTATTATAACTCTCTACATAAACGTGAATGTGGCACCTAATAAAGTTTTGTACCTTTTTTATCCTTTATAAGTGAATTCTACTTTTCGGCCATATACATCTTAGGATTTCCATTTTTAAAGCAGTCTAGATGACAAAGGCTTTTTTTTATTCTTTGAAAGTGCTTTAAATATTGTAGATTTTTTCCTAAGTCCAAACAGTTTGGTCATATCGGACTCCTCTTAATTGTTATTTTCCATAGTTTTTATTAAAGTTAGAAGCTAAAATATTAAAATTATATTTAAATTCAACATAGCTTATTTTTTTGTCCTATATTTGCAATATTTTAATTTTAGGGGTTTTGGGGTTTTGGGGGTT